AAGGAAGGAAGGAAGGAAGGAAGGAAGGAAGGAAGGAAGGAAGGAAGGAAGGAAGGAAGGAAAGGAAGTAACATCTTTTGTTGATCTCAAGACACTGTCTCAGACTCAGTGGAATCCACTTACTACCTGGCTCTAAGTCAGGCCAACACTCCTCTTTTCTTCCTTGATGGAGTATCCTATCAGTAGAGAATCAAAAATAATGATTTTTTTTAAAAAAAAAAACATTACATTTAAACTGTGAATTACCTTTGTGTAGCTTATTTAAGTCAGAGCTCAATTAACTCTAATACTGCAGTTAATGTTCTAAAAATTACACAGCTATTATGTGAATAAGCACATTTCAGGTATCAAATACTAAACTTAAAAACAGCTTCATTTCCCCAATTTGAATATTTCTTACCTCTTCGTCATCTTCCTCATCTTCAACATCCAGAATTCCTGAGTCTTGTTCAGACTTTGGGCTTGTGCTCTCCATCTCTGCATCAAAGATTGTATAAACATCTTTCTTAGACTTTCTCTTGCTACCTATTCTAGGCTGTTGCAAGACAATGTTATCCAGGTTTCTTTGCTGTTGGGCCTAGGATATAGAGAAAAATAGAGGAAATAATGAAACAAAGAAGGGGGAAAAAAAAACAAAACTTGAGCTTACAATGAACTAATTTTGAACAAAACAATACCTTGTAGAAAAAAACTAATATTTCTTAATTTAAAAATATTTAGAGCTAAAAGTAAAATTAGATGTAGTAATGCATATATGTTGTTGTTTGAAACAGGATCTTGTGTAGCCCAGGCTGGCTTCATATTTGCTATGGCACAAAGGAATGCCTTGAATCCTAATCCTCCTGTCTTCACCTCCCAGGTGCTGGGATTCCAGGCCTGCATCTCCAAATTTAATGTACACCGTTTTGCCCTGAAGTTATCCTATATTAACCCTTTTTCAAAGTCAGTACAGAAAAAAAAAAGGACAATTTGTTGATATTACCATATGTCTTTTTAAGTATTGGCTAAACAACCAATCACAACTCTACCAACTCCATTTTCACCTGCATAGCCAAGAGTACAAATGCCTAGTGGTTATCTCTTACAAAGAAAAGCAATACTGAAACAAAACTGACGGAAGATGAGACAGCAACTTGGAATTAGCTGCGATAAATTTAAGTAGGGGAAAGTCTTTAAAAACAATTATTTGGTTATGAAACCACTAAATTATAATCAAGATGAATTATCTTAAAACTGATATTGTCTCAGGAAGTATTCTGAACTAGCAAATGCAGCCCAAGAAGGGTGGGGGAGGCGGTTAAAAGATTTACTCTTCAGAATTTAAAAATGAAAAAGGAAGTATAAACCCTCAACCTAACAAAATTAACTAGTGACAGTATGCTTTAAATAGACCCAAAGAGAAAGAGAATATCCCACCCAGAGTCAACAATAAAACCTCTAACCACACAGTGCAGCTACAAGTGCCCTTAGCCACTCTCAGAAAATTGAGGCTATAAGACAAAGGGTTTGCTCCAAGTCAAAACACCAATGAGCAATTAGCAGAAGCTTGAAGTATGATCTCCTAAGTTCAAGACATTCATCCTTCACTATACCAACAGCCCAAGAGCAGGGTAAATGTTTTCTAAAATAAGGGTTCTGTGGCCATATTAAGAGACACAATGCATGCTGAATATCTCTGAGAGGCAGAGACAGAGATCCCTGGAGCAATACGGATAATGAGATTAGCCAGGTCAGCAAGCTCTAGGTTCAAGTGAGAAACTCGGACACAATATATACAGTGGGGAGTGATCAAGGAAGAAACCCAGCACCAATGTAGGGCCTCCACAGGCACGTGTGAACACATATAAATATCACACCCATGAAAAGAGAAAAGGAAAGAAAAAAGCTGGGAATGACTCTGTTCTTAAGAAACTTGGATAATTTGTTCAAACCCAAAATGTTCCAGAAACATTTCTTCATGGAATTTTGCTTTTCTGTACCATGCCAAGGTGCAAGACTTGAGCTCATGACTTCTTGAAAACCAATATATTAATCAATACAATCCTCTTTAATGCCAAGTAGAAATTAGTTTATGAGAAAATAAATGTCACTGAATCTGAATGAGATTAAGGAATTCAGGGAAATCTTCAGTATTAGAAGTTAGTTAAGGCACTGATCAAATGAAACAACTATAACAAGACAGAAAAACATAAACTATGTGGCTAGCTTCAGCCAAAACAAAATGAAAAGATTCTACATTCCAGAGATTTAAATCAATGCACAAACTTGTTTCTCTGCATATTATATCCACTGACATTCTGGGTTCACTTACATCAAATCCATAGCTTCAGTAACAAACCTGGAGCAGGCACCCACAAACAATTTAGGTCTATACAAAAAAAAAAAAAACACATTCGTGATCTCCTTAAGTACAGCATTCTTTCTACACCTCTCTGTGAGACAGCCTCTTGCACTGTACCTCCTGCAGACCACACACTAAGGACCAATGACTCAGGAGGCAAAAGGAATGGGGAACTCCCATGCTTTTCTATTCCAAAGAACAGATCTTCAGTTGCAGAATGACTGCTTGCTCCCTTCTTTCTCTACCTTCTTTCAGAACACCAAAGCCAAAGCTGTCCGAAAGTAGGTCTTGACATCAAATCCCAAGCAAATTAATGTTCTTTCACAATCAGATACTGCCAGTTTAGCAGAAGAAATAGAGAGGAGCCACACTAGATCTGACATTAAGCCTGAGACCATATAAACTGAAATGTACTTAAGGAAGTAACTTTAGATTTTCAGTATTTTTTTTTAATTTTTGTTTGTTTAGTTTGTTTTTGTTGTTGTTGTGGCTGTTGTTGACATATGGTTTTCCTATCAATTTAGCAGAATACAAGGCATTCTGTGTCAGTCACTATGTTGAAGTAGTGAGCCCCTGACTATAAGTGTCAGGTTTTGTGTTGTATTCTAAAGCCCCAGAGCTGGTGCTCATGGTCCAAGCAATCCCAACTTCTCCATGTCTGTAAAGGCTCCATCACAGACAACCTGCCATGCAGGAAGCAGCCCAGATGAAAACACAAAATTTCATGTGGAACAATCACATAAATACTCAGATGTTACCATTGTGGATGTCCATTCAAATCACCATCTTTCAAAATCTATGAGACTGGAAGAAGGCAGTGAAGACAAAATCCACATATAAATAAATACAGGACAGGTCATCATTAAAATGTGGCATTCAAATTTATGAAAATTCCTCTCAGAACCTTTCAGAGCTCTTTCCCAACACGCTAGGCAGCTTCACCAAGAACATTTCTGTTCAGAGCTGCTGCTGCACGAACTAACTAATTTCTGAGAATAAGCCTCGGCTACAAGGAAAGGAGTACACGGCACACAGTAGCAGTGAGACCTTAGCACCAGTGTATCTTTACTCTCTTCCTGTGCATTCCTTTGATCACCTCATATCTAGTCTTCCTTGAGAATTCCTCAACTCTTGTTCTCACTTCTCCAATATCCAGCAGCACATCTCCAGCTTCCTATATTGTTGGTATTTTCTGGTATCACTTCGATTCCAACATAGTGGAACCCCGTCACCTCCACCACCACCCCAATCAATGCTCCTGTTCACTGTATATGCAAATTAGGAGTGAAGAGTAAAGGAGTCCAAGTCCAAACTCCAAAACTAATTACTTACATTCCACATAATAGAAATATCACTCGTCTCTCCTATGTGGGTCAGACCACATCCTAAAACACTAGGGACACTGCCACTTTTGACCTCACATCATTTCTCTACCTGCTAATATGACTGAATCCAACACTTTCTCCAAAACTCAAACAAATTTTTCCTATAGAAAGCCTTCTGTGGCCAGGCATGACAGTGCATACCTGGAATCCCAGCACTTAGAAAATGAAAGTTAGAGGACCATAGTAAGTTCAAGGCTAGGCTAGAATACATAAGACCCTGTCTTTTAAAAAATATAAATAAAAGAGGGAGAACAAGAAGAGAAAGAGAGGAGAGGAAGAAAGGGAGGGAGGGAGGAAGGGAAAAAGAAAGAAGCGTCCCTCATATATAAATCAAATGGTATTTTCTGTATTACTGCTTTCAATCAAACATATATTGAATGCATATTGGATGCTGTGAGAATCAATTTCAATGCTGAGGAGGCAAGGGAGAAACAATGTGAACAGAAAATTATAAGGTCAGCTTTACAATCCAGACAATTTGTCTAAGTACAGAGGGCAGTCAACTGTGGGGAACAAGACTAAAAGCAGGAAAAGCAACATAGATCATTGTAACGACCCAAATAACAATGATGAGAACTGAAGTATGGTAGCAGCACACACAGGAGACAACTGATTTGCTGACTCGCTTGCTGAACATGATAGAGAGGAAAAGAAATAAGAACAACTCAAACTATTTTGCTCTTAATGGCTAGATAGTGGAGCTATCCAGAATTGAGACCATGAAAATTATAGGCTAAGTAAAGAATCACTAAGATGAAGACTGTAAGCGTGCTGGATATTCAGGTGAAAATGGCATAAAAACACTAAACAATGCTCCTCAATTTCAAAATAGAAAATGCTTATTTTCATAATAAGACTGGCCACTGTAGGAATCCCCAATCCAGAAACCTAACATACATAGACTAAACTGAGATATAAGTTTACTACATGAATGCAGCAGATAACAAACTGGTGTCTGTATGAGAATGTGATCTGGCCCCTAAAATTAAAGGATAACCTACTAGAAAGAGGTAGGGGTTGCGCACATAGCCACAAACATTACCTAATGTGAACTGTGAACCTAAGACGTCACTATTAACATTACCAACGGTCAGAATGCCTACAAAGCATCCTATACACATCATTAAGTAAAAGCTTATTGTGGAATGCTAGTCCCAGCTCCCACAATATCTATCAATAAGATTCAGAGTTCAAAACACAAGACTCAAAACCCAAAGGCACCTGTGTTTACCAACACAACACCGACCTCTAGTGGTTTAAGAGTATACACACATGACCCTTAGAAACTAATTGAAAGGAGCTTTAAGCTTAGAAGCTGGAGACTTCTTATAATTACTGCACAAAGGCTAAGTAATAAATGAAAATACAGGATTTGGTTTTTTTTTAAGTTTTGTTGAATAAAAAGTCTTTACATCCAAACCTTGAAATTTACTGATTCTATAACCAAGTCAGGTATGCTTTGCTTCTCTGCAATAATCTCACTTATTAAAAACTAGCAATAAGAGTGCCCACAAGATTGGACAAAATAGAGCTTTTGAAAGACCTTGAATTGCAACAAAACAAAATACCCAGATGCCTTCTTCTGAAAATGACTGAAACCTACATTATTGTGCATTGTGCCTCAATCCAAGCAGTAAGCACAATGCATACACTCAGCCCTACTACAGATCCTCGAGGCTCCATCAGTAACCTGGATTATAAAACCCAGAAGTAATGGAACACAACCTCAGGAACTCAGAACTCCTCCAACTTTCAACTCTGGGGATTTTCTAACACTCTAAGAAATAACTTGGCACTCACAAAACACAACCTATATGTGAGGCAACCCTCACTTAGGACAGATAAAGATTTCCCCAATCTGTTCTCATAGCTGGTTCCACAAAACTTTTCAGAAAGTCTCATAGATTATGATCCCATTAGGGGATCCAGATTCCCCTAAAAATAGTCCCTCTACTGAGTCCTACATTCTCTTTTCACTTCTAACCTTCATTTCCAATTCATCAGGTCTTATTACTGAATGATCAATCTCATACCAATCCCCTTATACTTTAAAAGAAGCAAACACTAAAATAACAACAGGGTGAAATGGAATTGTTAGCCTATTGAGTCTACACCCTAGAAAAGTCAAGATATAAAGACTCCAAATACCACCATGAAAAAGACTGCAGAGCAGCTGCAGGTTTCACCAGGAGTTAGTTCATCTGGACACCAGCTTCCTTTGTCGTCTCCAATGTCATACTCAAGCAAAAGAGATGGGGAAAAACAATAGTGATCAAAAGAGGAAAACAAGTCCTGCAAGATGATCACAAAAAGTTACTTTTGTGGACTATGCATACAAGTGTGTTATTTGTATCATATCTAAGGCCATCTTTGTAAGGATTCATTCATCACAAAGGATGTTCATCAGTCTAAAGAAAAGTATGAATATAATTATTTGGTACTTTTCTCTTTGTATTAAGAAAGGTGCTCACTGTCTGCTTTAAAATTAATCACTAAACACCAAAGAAAACATCAATGGAATAAAAAGGTAATGCAGAGAGTGAGGAACAAACTTGCAATCGATGCATCTCATAGGAATTAACAAAAAACAATCTAAGAAAGTCCTGTCACTCAACAACAAAAAAACAATAAAAATGAGAAAAAGACTTGAATAGAAACCCCTCCAAACAAGCGTGTGAAAGATGCTCAAATCATTATTTATGTTGGGTACACTTGACTGTCAGCTTGACTGAATTAAGAGGTGATTTAAAGACTAGTAGAGCACACATCTAAAGGTATATCTGATGGTATTTCCAAAGAGAAGTAGATCCTTCTCAGTAGATCCTGAGAGCTCTGTCCTAATAAGTAGCTTTATGCCTGGATCAATTCATTACATGATGGAGGTGAAAGAAGAACTGGGAGCTAGCTAGAGGACTGAGGCATATTCTTGGATGCTAAATATCCTACCCCCAACCTCTTTCTATACTTTCTTTCTCTGCTTCCTAGACACCATGCTGCAAAAATCTCTGCTCCTCCACAAAATCCCCATGATGACAGACAGAATTCTAAAACTAAAAGCCAAAGTAAGTAATTTCGATTTTGAGTGGTTCATGTCAGAAACTATGCTGCATCAATGAGAAATAACCAATATGCCAATCACTGTGGAACTATAAATCAAAGCCACAAAGTGGTATAATCTCATACCCATTAGAAACGCCATTATCAAAAATATACAAAGGACAAGTGTTGGCAAGAAGGTGAATAAAGTGGAATCCTGTGTGTTGTTGGTAAGAAGGTAAACATATCCACTATGCAAAACAGCACTGCAGCTCCTCAAAATAAGAAATAGTAGAAGAATGTATACAAAAGAATTTATATCAGGATCACAGAGATATTTCAGTGACCAAGAGATCAAGATAACAGTAATAGTCACTAAAGAAATAGGGTCTGTAAGTATAATACTGTTATGCTACCTTACAAATTAAGGAAATCTTCTGACAACAGCAATTTACAAGGCAGGGTAAAAGGAAACAAGACAGTTCAAAGGGAATGAAGAGACAGTGGTCCCAGAACTGAATACAGTAGAAATACTGGCTGGAAATGTTTTAAAACTATGACTGTTGTGCTTTAACAGAAAAGCAGGTGACACACAAGAACAAAAAGCTAACGTAGGCAGACAGACAGGAATTCTAAGAAATAACCAAAAGAGAAAGGCCAGAAATCACAAATATCAGGACAAACAAGAATCCCTTTGATGGGCTCGTTAACAGACAGTACATAAGCAGAAGACAATCTCTGAGCCTGAGAAAGAACAACAAAAAATTTAAAACTAAAAGCCAAACAAAAAAAAATACCTATTAAAAAATACAACAGGATATCCAAGAAGAAAAGATCAAGATCTGTGAGGCATCAACAAAAGCTAACCCCCTGTGAGAGGAACACCAAAGGAACTGGAGAGTAAGGGAAAGCAGGAGCAATCCAAATGATAATGGCTTAGAGTTTCCACAGACTGATACTCCTCACCAAATCACAGATTCAAGAATATAGAAGCCCATGCTATTCAATAGGCAAGACAAAACCACAGCCACCACACTCAGGCATAGAATTAATATTTAAACTTGAAGAAAGCCAAAACTAAAAACTTGAGGAGGAGCCCAGAGCAACCAAAACATCATACTTATAGGGAACATAAGTAATAATCATACTGCTGTCTCTTTGTGGACCATGTAATCAAGAAGAAAGCAGGCTCAGTGTGTAAAGTGTGTCATGTAACTTTCTGCAGCAAATTTAAAAAGAAAACAAGTTATTGCAAGCATGGTGAGCCACCAGCAACCTCTTCGTGTCCTCTACCCTTTTGGTATCTCTTCATATATTCACATAAAAAATAGCATGTCAGCTCTAATATAACTTACTAGACATGGCCTTGAATGAACCAATGATGTGAGAGAAAGCCATATTGGGATTTAAAGATCCTGCTTCAAATAAAGGCTTCTTAAAGGGGCCCAGTGACAAGAAGAAATTCCAAGACCACATCAAAGGGAAGAACAATAATCCAAGCTGTCCTTTGACAAGGGGAGGATGATAAAGAAAACCATTTTTTGGCAGAGAAAGCATGTACCTTTAGTGTGGCTAACTAGAAAGTCCAGGACACACTTAAGCCTGTGAGTTACCTTGACAGTGAAGCATAATCCTGCGATTCCAGAAAAGTTGAGGAATATGCCATTGGCCATGTAAGTTGCTACTGAGGCCAAAAATAGAGAATTCAACTGCATATAAGGCAACTTCTGATAGAGAAAAAGCTCTGTGTGAGAAAAATGTACTCAGGGCTCAGTCTTCTACTGTATAAGCTACTGATAACAGAACAGTCTGCAAATATATATAATATATATATATGGATAACATAGTTTGTAAATATGAGTAGAAAGTGATGAAAATATGAAACTTATATATACATTTTAACTTACAGTGTCTAGAGAAAGGTTATAAAGATATCCAACCTGCATAGAACAGAAGAAATGCCAATGAGAAAACAATGTGAGCTGCTATGCTGGGCTAGATTCCCATCTCCTGGAATAGCTCAAGTAAAAAAGAAAACACTGTGAAAGATAAGAATCCCTAAGCTTGGCTTTGACCACATTCCAAGTTTCTAGCAAAGGCTCCCAAGTTCAAAACCACACTTAGTAGTACATACCTGTAATGGTAGTGCTTAAGAAGCAGAGGCAGGAGAATCATTACTTCAAGGTCAGACTTGGCTACACACATTTGTTTTAAAAAATGAAATAAAATCACTCATTCATTTCATGACTTTACTCTGTGAGAGTTCTTAGCACTGACTGACACAAAACAAGTGTCCAAAACCTTTATCAAATCCAGTGTTTTCTTGTTTTATCAACAGCTTCCGTTAACACTGAAGGTTCCCTACTCCTACCCACCCATGGACAACACAAGCCTGGAAAGAAGAATGTCATGACACAGAGATCAAATCTCTACTACCCCGAAATTTTAAGCAGCCATGGAAAATGTAATATCATCTTTGCAATTTATCCAACCTATGAAAAGCCTAGTAGGATGACCAAAATGAATAAAATGGCTAACCCAAATTTTCACAAATTTTGAAATTTGATGAACAATAGCAGGCATCTAGAAAAATATCAGAGGACATGGAGGACCTATCTCTTAATAACCAGTACTTGTAAAAAAAAAAAAAAAAAGTACCACAGAGAAAAAAGTAAAATGAGGCCCATTTGAAAGACCAGGCTTTTACAAATAAGGTCTAGTTTATAAAATAATATACAAAGCTGCTGATACAAGTATCTCATAAAAACTAAAGGGTAGGCTGTAAGGTTCAATCAAAATGAAGTCACTGAAATTTCCAGTTTAGATTGCCTGTCCATAAAATATGATTTTTAAATGCTTTACTGTTACCCAGCAAAGAAACAAGTAAAATGTGTTTCAAAAAGAAAACCAAATTAGCTTGCTGTTCTCTTGAGAGTCAGAAATGATTACAAACAGGGCTAAAAAGGCAGCCACTGTCCACTCTGGCCAGGTTGTTTACCACACATTTTCTGTTGTGATACTTTCTAAGTCCTTTTCATGAACTCAGAAACAATTTTAAAACACTGATTGCAATATACACTTGAATGGTGTCATATTCTTTAAAAATAATGTTACAAAATGCAGGCTTTCCATTAGAAGAAAAGAACTAAGCTAATAAAATATGACAGCAAAAATGGCTTAGGGCCAGAGACCCATTTGAAACTTATAAAATCTAAAATCTCCCTAAGATCAGATGGACATATGTTTTCCTCTTGGTAGGTGTAAAACTATACAGTCACACAAGCTTCTGTTTCCAGTTTTAACTTAAATCCAGGTGTTACACAAGATGCTAAAGGTTTCTATTTATCCTCTAACAAAAACTTAATTTTGCTATCACAGCAGGTATCTAGGCTACCAAGAATGACCAAATTTACACTCATAAGTGTATACAGTAGAGGGCCTGTAAATAATTTTGACTCCAGAACTACCATTATGTATCAAGTAAAAATGAAAAATAAAAGTAGGAATGGGAAGTATCAACTAGTTAAAAATTAATCCAGAAAAAAAAGAATGAGAAATTATGCAACATAAATATCAAGAAGTATTATTCAATTTATTTGAAAACTCATGCCTTGAAGTAGTATAGAGACATATACTTATGTCAACTTTGTAAAATTCAAAATGTAATTTATTTATCATATGATCAGATTTCAGTTAAGCAGATATTAGCATATGGAATTATAAAGGATATCCACTTCTGTCAATGGTACATAATTTAGATGCAAAAAGTGAACAAATTATTAAAGCCATCTCTTAAAGGCATCAGACATAACTAACAAAATGGTGAAAACAAATCAGGATAGGTTCAAGCTTGCAGCATGAGCAAAAAAAGATCAGTGTTGGTAGGCTCTCTATTTTTTTCTTTTTTCTTTTTTTTTTTTTTTTTTGAGGGGGTATCCCTTATTTGTCCATATAAGACATGGCTAAATGTCTCTTCTGAGAATAATAAAGGACTAAAAACCAGGAAAAAGTCAAGTTCAGACAAAGAGGAATAGCCTTAGTAGACCCCTGATTTGGAGTCAGAGTATAAACAACTGCAACCTCTGAAAAGGCAACAGCAGGATTAGACTTGACCAAGAAGGACTCATATTAGTCGAGGTCAGGTTAAGTTGATCATGAAGACCTAGCACCCCTCAGTACCTTAGTGTTGTATCAAGTCTAAGAAAAACAAACATGAGAGCTGAGAACACATCTCAGTAGTACAGCATGAACCTAGCATGTGTGAGGTCCAAAGTTCAATATCCAGAACAGCAAAAACATGTATTTAAAATGCTACTTTCCCAAGAAAATACAGCATCACCTCAGTTTTAAAAAGCTCCTAAACACAATTTTGAAATGCCATTATGCCATGATTTAAAAAAAAAAAACTACCTATTTGGTCATCATCTCTGCAGCTGGCACAAAGCTTTTATATCCCTTGTAATGTCCTGAATGATAAAGGCAACAGTGTCTTCTATTATAGTGTTTTTATCCATAGTTCCTGGCACAACGTGTCTTAAAATCCTCTGGATTAATAAGCCAGGTGTTAATGGCACATCCCTGTAATTCCAGCACTTGGAAATCTGACACAGGAGGATAGAGAGTTCAAGGCTAACCTTAATATGACCAGGAAGAACCCAAGCCTAGCCTAAACTATACAGCAAAACTATCCCTCAAAAAATTAAAAATAGGAGCTGGAAAGGTGATTCCCTGGGTAGGAATGCTTGCTGTGCAAACCTGAGGACCTGAGTCCCAGAAACACTTCTGCGGAAAACTAACAAACTCATTTTAAATTTTACAGAGATACAAAGTGTATTAAAGAGGCAAAACAGTTTTGCAGGAGAACAAAGTTGGTGATTATACAGAATTTGATTTTGAAACTCACTGTACAAGTCCAAAAAGACCATATACTGTGTGCTGGTGTGGCAGACAGACCTGTAGACAAAGAAAGTAAAACAGTACAGAGGAAGAACTAACACATTGAACCAAGAGGAGTTCAGAAACTTCCAAAGTTAAAGATAGTAACTATATATAAGAGAGCTCTGACAGATACCACATAACCAAGTAATCAAGACTAGTGATACAGGTCACTACTGTGTATCCTTGACATGATACACTGAGACATATTAGTTTATGTCCATCCTAACTATGCATAATCTCAATCCAACTTTGATATGAGCTTCACACAAATACAAACTAGAAGTTCTTCAAAACAAAAAAATAGTATCAAGGTCATGGAAGAAAGAAAAGACTAAGGGATAGACTCAGACTGGAGAAGCCTATAGAGATATGACAACTACATGCAACACTCAACTGGATCCTGAAACATAAGACAGATATTAGTGTCAAAATTGAGGAAATTTAAATAAGTTCTAGCATTAGTTAGCAAATTACTATAAAGATTAAGCTCCTAGCTTTCATAAATGCAAATGTTCTGTGGTTCACAAAGAGGAAAAGGAGCATGAAAAACAACTATACTATTTTTGTGACTCTCATGTAATTTTAAATTATGACCAGCTCTTTTTCACAGCACCACCTAGGTGGTTGGCTGTGTCAAGATGAAGCTGCATATCTCCTTCCTGGCCACCAACTATCAAAAACACATTGATGTGGATGATGAACACAAGCTTCATACTTTCTATAAGAAACACATGGCCACAGAAGTAGCTACTAATGCTCTGGTGAAGAGTGGAATGGTTATGTTGTCTGAATCAGTGGTGGGAATGGCAAACATGGTTTTCCCATGAATTGAGGTGCCTTGAGACCCATGGCAGACTGTAACTACTGTTGTTTGAGCAAGGGGTATTCTTGACCAAGAAAAACTAGAGAGAGAAAGCCCAAGTCTGTTCACAGATGCATTTTGGGCACCCATCTGAGCTTTCTTGGTGTGGTCATTATGGAGAGAGAGAAGGACGAGAGGACACCTGGGAATAGCCAAGTCTTTCAAAACCTCAAAGACATGTCCTCAAAGGTGCCCAGTCCTCTTACTCCATGTGCCCTGCCACACAAACACCAATGTATTGCACCAAGAAACAATGCACCAAGAAAAATGAGAAGGCTGCAGAATTTGCCAAACTTTTGGGCAAGAGAATGACAGAAGCCAAAAAAAAAAAAAAAAAAAAAAATGCCAGGAACAGAATGCAAAAAGATGTAGGTTATCCTCACTGAGAGCATCTACTTCTAAGTCTGAGTTCAGTCAAAACCACCACTTTAAGAGGAACAAGTAAATGATCAAACCTTGGAAACAATAAAAGTATGTCCAAAAAAATCAAGAAAAAACAACAACAATGAAAGACCAGCAATCCATAAAAGTAGCAAGATTGGAACACTGTATATTAATGACAGGACTACAAAATGGTATATAATGAACAACTAAAAAAACTACACATCACTCACTATATAACCAATAAGAGCATGTTCACTTATTTACTAAATCAGATACCCACACAAATACTTATACATACATATTAATGATTTTTTGCAAAATAGAAAAAAAAACAAATATTCACCAACCACTAAATAGATAACAGAAATCATGAAAAAACTACAAAATGGACCATTATCCACCAACAGAATGGGAAACCACTGCTTATATTTATTACAATGAATGAATTGCTAAGCATTCATGCCAAATGAAGGAAGCTCGGTGTGGAGAGAGAGAGAGAGAGAGAG